CTAGTTGTCGTTTCTTTGAATTGTAAAAAGTATTTCTAGCAATTTCAAAACATTTATTATTTAAATGTTTTGGGAATTTTAGATCAAGCTATTTCATAAAGCTTCAAGATTTCTTTGTCAATGAACTCTCGGCTGTAAACACTCAAAGAACTCAAAAAATCCATGAGAAAACAGAATGTTTAATTCTATCATGATGTGAAGAATAATAGTGCACATAAGAACAGTTATTAGTGGGTTTCCGTAAATTTAAAATTTAAAATCATGATTCCTTTTAATAATTAAAAGATCTTGAAGAGGAAATGAATTATTTTGTTTCAACTCTGCAGTAAAATTTATGGAATGTCCAAGACTGTTTAATTTAACAAGGAAATGGTTTACGTGTACATTATTAGGCATTAGACATATAATATCATGAACACATTAACACATTTGTATCACTTATCTCTATTCCATGTACAAATTACTGAGGACAAGTGCGAGTGGATTTCACATTGCCATACCAAACTTTTGAGTATACAACTCACCAGTAAATACTAAATTAGCATCACCAATACAGAATTTAATAAGTTCAATGATAGTAGGTGCTGGCAATGGAGACATTCAAAATATTGAGAAACAAAAAATACTTTTTTAATCAGGCTGTTCCATCAGAATTGAAACAGCATGTTAGGTCATTGCTATATTAAATTCAGAAGAGTTTGTAATGAACTCAAAAATAAACCAAAAAGAAAATTAAACGATCTAATTGAAAACAGTGATTGGACACAACATTTTAATAAAAAAAATTGTAATTAACTTGTCAAATGAAATATCAGATAAAAATTACATGGCTGCTTTAGGTTTCGGTCTAAGTTTTGCAGATTCTAAAAAACTCATTTATGTGGAAATAGCAAAAGCCTTTTGTAACATAGAAAAATCCTTTGAATTATCCGGTTACGAAATTAATATAAGCAAGGCCATGGTTTATAGTTCAATAATAAAACAAAATATTCACAGTTGCCCTCAGAGATATTTTTAATTCATAATGAAAATCTTATTCGTAATAAAATTTGTATGTTACTAAAGCAGATAAAAATAAATGCAGTAGTAATTTTGAAAGAAACTGATTAAATTATACAGATACTTATTCCAGAATTAAAAGAATCCTGTAGATTCTGTTAACAGTAATTTTAATAAAACAATAAAACTTACTGAAAGGCAAAGATGAATTAATTAAAAAATTATAACCAACAATCCATCTTTACCATATATGTATTGATTAATAAAAACAAGCAAGGTAATCCAGCCAGACCTATTATTAGCTCTAGGTTCAATTTTCTATAAATTATTTATGTGGCTTGTAGATGTGTTGAGGCCAAGTTTTAGAAAAAAAATATAATTTTAATGTTTAAAATAATATAAGATTTAGTGGATATATTAAGCTGATATAAATGATTACAAAATAGTTAGCTTTGATGTTAATTCTTTGTTTACAAAAGTTTCAGTTGATGATTTAAGTTTCCCATCTGAAGAAGTTGTTAATTATGATTTACTTTGCTAGTACCTACTATTATAGAGCTTATTAAACTCTGTATTGCTGACGCTAAGATTGTGTTTAATCGCGAGTTTTGCACTCAGAAATTTGGTATTGCTATGGGAATGCCTCTCTCACCTGTCCTTAGTAATTTGTAAGTGGAATATTTTGCAACAATATTCCTTAACAAAATCCTTCTGAACAGAGATAACTAGTGCAGATATATTAATGATGTTTTATGTCTATTACTTAAGAATATAGATATAAAGTATTTCCTTGTTAAATTAAATAGTCTAGCTCATTACATAAATTTTACTGTTGTGTTGAGTTTGATTAAAATAAATTATCCTGTTTTCTAGATGTTTTAATTATTACGGGGGAACCATAATTTTATTTTTAAAATTTACAGAAAAGCAACAAATAACTGCTGTAATGTTTAATGTTATTTTTCATATCATGAAGGACTTAAACTTTTTGTATTCTCATTCTCCAAAAACTGCTGACGACTGTATCTTCAAGATTCCCTGCAAAATCTGTGATAAGGTTTATTTCGGCCAAACGGGGTGAAGTCTTGAACTAAGTGGACTAGAGTCTAATTCTCTGTTTATTCATGTGAGAGATTTTAACCATCCAATTGATTTTTAAAAGGCCAAGAAAGTTTTATCAAGCAGGTTCACAGTTGGGAGAAATGTAACAGAATCGAGTTTCATTAAAAATAGTTTTGAAATTAATATGACTATTGTTTTAGGATTACACAAATAGGATTCATTTATAATTAATGCAATCAGGGAAGAATTTTAGATATATTCGACAAGTTAAAATCTTGAAGGTTTTTGGAGAATATAATCTATATTTGACAGTTCATTGACCACCTACCTACATTATCATAAAGAGTCAGGTGTTGTAAGTTGACAGCGAGGTGTAATCTCGTCCTTATATGCCCTTCTGCTGATTATTTTTACAGTTCCTCGATGATGTGAGAAATCACGAAAGCATTTGGAAGTTCATAATATTTTTCACAGCAGTTCTGTATATTATGATATCACCTGTTTTCTGTGATCTTATTGAGTATATATATATATATATATATATATATATATATATATATATATATAATATAATAATATTATATATATATATATAAAAAAGTTGCAGTTTAAAAACGTAGTGTAAAGCACCCTTCTGGCAAGACAGTGATGGAGTGAATGATGGTGAAAGTTTTTTCTTTTTCGGGCCAACCCTGCCTTGGTGGGAATCGGCCAGTGTGATAAAAATATACATATATATATATTATATATATATATATATATATATATATATATATATATATATATAATATAATATATATATATATATATATTATATATATATATATTATATATATATTATATATATATATATATATATATATATATATATATATATATATATATATGCAAAACAACCACTGTGAAAGGATAGTGAAATCTCAAGCGTTTTCGTGACTTCTCACATTATCAAGGAACTATCAAGATAGTACATCAAAGGAAGGCATAGAAAGGGTTTCGACCACATCTCACCATCACATCCCACAACAAAGTAACACCTGACACGCGACGACACCCGATTCATAAGGAGGAACACTGCAGTACGCCCACTGGTCCAACTAGACAGGTCCTTTACGACATCCCACTCACAAAATATTTGTCCTACCCTAGTACTCTACCCAAAAATTAAGATTTATTATTTGTCCAATGTATTATTAAATTCTTCCCAAATTTTATTAATTATAAATGTATCTAATTTATATAAACCAAAGGAAATATTCATATTATTTTGAAAATAATATGAATATTTCCTTTGGAAATAATATGAATATTTTCTTTGGTTTACATAAATTAGGTCCATTTACAATTAATAAAATTTGGGAAGAATTTAATAATACATTGGACAAATAATTAATCTTAATTATCTCATCTCCTTCTCACCTTCCTCAGTTTCTCTGCACTGGATTTAAGAAACCACTGGTTGGCGAAACGTTTCCAGAATAAAGATTTCCAAGTGTTGCACCAATATCTCATTTATCATCTTGTCGGTTTTCTAAACCATTTTTTTAAACTATTATTCTATGTAATGGATTAATGAACGACATGACTAGTCTCTTAAATTTTCAACATTTCTAAAATTTTTATTACTGCTTTATTGTATTTATCATGACTTGGTAAGCTTTGCACATTTATATAACTCTCCTCAGATAGTAACCGGCTTATTGTATATCAGTCATCAGAACAACACATTGCAGTAGAACAGTTTACTTAATTTTGTACAAAATATTGTAAATAATATGTCATATATTGGATAATTTATTATTTATTGTATTTCTTGTATTGTTAAGTTCCAGAAATAATTCCAAATGATGGTGATTGAACTGTCACCGAAGCATTGTTCGGTCAAGAAATGTCTTCAGAAGCTACAAATCTTTTCCGCCTTTGAATTACGGTAGAAATATATTTATTTTCTTTTAAAGATTCAAGTACTCTTGAGGTGAAGTGAACAGGTTTCTCATGGCAGTAACCAAAAAATAAATAATATATCTTTACAATTGGTTAATAGTTTTGTAAGAGTCCGAACTAAGTTATTTTACATTCAGATAATTTTTGAAAAAAAAAAATATATACATTTTTTCACTGTATTACAGAACATCACGATAGGAAGGAAGGATTATTGGGGTCCTAAGTTATTGAAGTTTTCTCTCTCAATCGTTGGGGAAGTAGTAATCAAGGTTAACTTTTTGGTTACTTAAGCAGAATTTATTAGGGTTACCTCTCATGGTCGCTGGAGGCAAGGTTATTGTGGTTACTTCTCTTGGTTAATGAAGTATGAATCTTCATGTTGCTTAGGAAAGAATCTGTGCCACTTTAGCAAAGATTCTCAGAGTTACCTCTCTAGGTTCTAGAGGCAGAAGTTATCGGGGCTAGCTCTCTCTGTCACCGGAGCAAAATATTTAAAGTCACCCTTCTCAGTCACTGGGAAAGAGTTATCGGACTTACCTCTCTAGGTCGATGCAGCAATATTTATTGATAATAACTCTTTCGGCCTCTGGGACAGAACCTATTGAGGCTACATTTTTAGGTCACTGCGGCAGAAGTAATTGGCGTGGTCTCTCTTGGTCGCTGGGGCAAAAATTATCGGTATTACTTGTCTCTCGGTCGATAGGGTAGAAATTATTTGGGTTACCTCTCCCTTGGTGACTGAGGCAGAGGTTTCCTGAGGTGCTGGAACTGGAGTTATTTGGGTTACCTCTAACAGTCACAGTGGTAACAGAGAATTATCGAATAATCTTGAAAGTATTCCGTTTATCCTTACTCCAAAAGTTGTTTCTCCGTTGTAATATTTTTAAATATTATTCATATCACGAAGTTTGTTTTCTGAAATTTTTAGTTATGTAATATCTCTCACCTTGAACAGATATTAGTAGGCAAAATAAAAAAAAATAAATGAAACTCCTTGAAAAAGATAGCCAATATTTTTCTTACAAATTGTAATATGAGTCGAACACAAAATAACAAACTGTACATTTGTCAGGACCGTCTATGGCGCAAGAACCGAGTACCCAACATTCTGTGTCATGGCGTCGACTGCAACCGTAACTTCGACTCAGACTTTGGTGGAGCCGGGAGTTCTAACAACCCATGTTCTGACTATTACAGTGGTTAGTTATTTACTCAAGTTATCGCTACTACCATCTTGTTACGTGCTTCATAACATAGGATATTTACTATAATATAACAAGATCTTTTTTCTTACCACGCTGTAGATAAAAGTAAATCGCATTTCTGATAACATGAACATTCTTCCCTCCACACACGTAATCCACAGAGGAAAACAGTGACAGAGTCGGGCAAATTCTTATTTAGGTTAGCAAGGACAGATTGAGGTTCTATGCTAATTTCGGAACAAGATAATAAATATCATCACAATTCTGTTGTGCAAATATCATTTGCACAACAGAATTTCACTCTCTTCCTTCGGGAGGCGAATGTTGAGTTGTAGCTACAATTATAATCCTTCACAGGAGAGTCTGCGTTCTCTGAGAGAGAATCACAGGCTGTGCGAGGCTCCATTGAAGCTCTGCCAGACGTGAGAATGTACTTTAGTCTTCATTCTTACGCTCAGCTTTGGTTGACTTCATATGGTTACACCGAGCAGCTGCCTGCCAATTATGACGAACAGGTGAGGACCATCACAAAGTTAGGTGTTTTGGAGAAAACGAATGAGTAGGAACCGTTAATAGGAACCCAATCTTCGATCATATTAAACAACTTAAAAAGCACTTAAAAGTCTGAGTACACGACTACCAATGATACGTAGATTCTATCGACTTGCTAGTGCCAGTATATTGCATAGACGGAACTAATTCATTGGTAAAGCAATAATTACACATGTATTATATCATGATGAGTAATGATATTGTTTTTGTCAACCAGTACCGGGTGGCCGGGGTGAGCGTCAGGGCCCTGGAGGCCGTGCATGGTACCAAGTACAACTACGGCAGCCTAGCAAACGTTGTAT